TAATATCAGGATGCTGCCCGCTTCTAATTTTAAGCTGGCTCAGGTAAGTCACAGTTTTAATCATGATGCAATAATCTTCTATAACTGGTCCCAGAGAAAATGATTTCCACCCCATCAAACACAGAACTATGGGGACCCTATGAATGAGATATTTTAAGTGGGTTGTCCATATGTGACAAATACAATGTCCTCCTACTGTCCTTCTGGACAATGCAGGGGACAATCCATGGTTCTGCTATGAACACTCTGGATGACTTCTAGCCGGTTCAGTACCAAACTTGCCATGTACCCACTTTTCACCATTATTTTTTTTTTAAAAAAGATACCTTTTACTCCAGTTCTTTTGGAGCCCTCTGGCATGGGCGGCTATTTACAATGCATTCCACTGTGCCACCTGGCCATTGCTGGTGTCACTCCCCCAAGATCATAATAATAATAATAATAATAATAATAATAATAATAATAATAATAATAGGTCTTATTTATATTTCCCACCTCTCCCTATGGATCGAGGCGGGATTACACAATAAAATGAATACAATGTACAAAATATAAACAATAAAGTAATAAAAATCAGAACAATAATAATAGATTAAGAGAATAGAATACAATATAATAAAATAAATGAAAATAAAATAAAATAGGATAAAATAAAATAATATAGCCGATCATTGTCAGAGTCTAAAAATCTGGAAGATCAGATGGATAGGCCTGCCGGAAGAGCTCCGTCGTAAGTGCCTTCTTGAAGGCTTCTAGAGTAGTAATAAGACAATCTCCTCCGGCAGGCTGTTCCACAACTTGGGAGCTGCGACCGTAAACGATTTTTGGGAAGTCAGGGTAAGTCTAGTTTTATGGTGTTCTAATAACTTCTTCCCAGATGTCCTGAGAGTGCAGGGTTATATGGCCCAGTTATATGGCCAAGACTGAGTGCCTCATTTTCAGCCTCGGAGCGATGCATGGTGGCACCAACATTGTGAGATGCACATGTGGACAACTGCTGGCTGTCACAACAGAGTGCCCAAGTAATGGGAGGACATTTGGGCAACTTTGGGACCAGAAGAGTCTTATCCCTTCCCTCACTTTTCTTATTTCTTCTCTCCATTTCTTTCCCTTCTTTATCCTTCTCTTTCGTCTAACTCTCCTTACCCAAATTACCCTCAGTCTCCTACAAACTCTTTCAATTATTTCTCGTCTTCTTCTAATTTTCTTGCACTTATCCTCTACACACTTTCTATACCTTCTAATTTTCTTTCTTTCCTCATTCTTGCATAATAATGCCACCGTTACATATTATAGTTTTAACTTCATATTTTCTATTATCTTTAAAAGTTACTTAACTAAAATCACGCTTAACTCAATACATAATACAATACACCTAATATTCAATTCACTTTACATTAACTAAAACAATTCTAACTTCCTATCTTACAGTCTTGGTTCTTATTGACCAGGCATTTGTCCTTTGTTTTATATGAGCGCTGAATCCCTGGCTACAAAATCTATTTTAAATATTTAAGTTTTTATTTAATCTTTATCAAATTACACTGTTTTTTTTCTTCTATCTATGTTATACTGTTCTCTCTACGTTGCACCAATTATTCTTTGAAACCTTCCATTGCTACTGGTCCCCATTTTTGGGACAAGAAGTCTGTTACACATTCCCAGTCTTTTTAAAATTTCTCCAAATTTCCATCAGTTAACAATCTCGTCAGTCTGTCCATCTCAGCTAGGTCATATACCTTTCTGATCCATTCTTCACCTTCTGGAATCTTTTCTGATCCATTATTCAATTTCTGGAATCTTTCCAAAGATGGGCAAAAGACATTCTCGCTGCAATAATTAAATACAGTTTTCTGCCCTTTGATGACACCCAAAATTTGCACCCTGAAGCAATAGCATCTTTTTGCCTAAGGTTAGAGCTGGCTTGGGACGTATGCATAAATCGTAAATGGCAAGAGCAAATACCATCTGCTTTTTCACACAGAAAGGAGCTGAGGCAGTTTAGGAAATGTCATGGCCTTTCCCTTGCTTGGAGCTGTGGATTTCTGATTTATCTACAGCATCTGATTGACAAATGACTTTAATCTCCTGCTGTAGCCTGTCACCAGCGGATTAAACTGGAGGATCACAGAAGAGTTCATGTATTGGATTTCCCAGTCAGGACTAGAAAAGATCCTAAAATGCAAAGACACACAACTCAGCACGAAAGTCAGAATCATACAAGTATTCCCTATTACCAT